GGAGTTATTACAGCGTGCCATTACTGTTCACAGGCTCATTTTGACTTTAAAGCCAATGAAGGAGCCTAGAACTTGACAAAACAAATGCAGGCACTGCAATGGTGCCGTTTGTTTACTGGAAAGATGACCAACTTGCCGGCTCGCCTACAGAGGCACCATGCTGGTAAGCTAGCAGCACCAAAAATATAATAGAAACTTGCAGACCCAAAGCAAATGACTCTGGACAACACCACGTATAAGATTCCATCTGCCTCACCCCGTGCCATCAAGATCAGACTTGCTTTATGTTTGTTTTATCTGCCTGGATTTCAGTCTGACTGCGTGGTTGAAAATAGAGGCTTTTGCTATTTGGTAAATACACTGGAGCCCCGTTACATTATCCCAACCTATCACTTTATTACTGAAGTAGCGGTACACAAGAAATATGAAGAAGTCAAAGAACTTGTCAAAACATGGCCAAGTTCAGCTTCAAAAGTTGCCCTTTCATGCACTGGGTGGGTGTATTTAATTGTATCATAAGCTATGTATGGAGAATCATTTCGAATTGGCTCACCCTACGCGTTACCCAGCCCTATATCCTGTCTATTAAAACTATTACAAAGATGACATTCCCTTTAGGGATTAATAACTTTTTTATTTTCTTTTTCCGTAACTTGTGATTGTCCGTCCGTGTGACGAAGTTGCAGCAAACCAGCAGAACTTGCGTTTGAATGCATGTGTTTCCCCCGCCATTAGTTCCCCGTTAAACCCGCTGCCAGGTTCGGTGAGCCTGCACAGATGCTGACTCATTATTTAAGGGCTGAATGGGCCAATCGCCCTCCAAAGAAATGATGATGCCACCGAACGAGCTGCAGGTGTTCAGAGCCGGTTACCTTAGCAACACCTTACAGCGGTAAATATTAAATAGCCCTCTGAGCTGCTTCCTGAGAGAAACATACCATCTTAAGGGTTAGAAGAAAAAAATGTTAATGTTTAAATTGATTATTTAGTAGTTATTTCTTTAGTGAGTGACATTGGTATATGCGGGATAGGGCCTGACTAGGTGTAGATTGTCAGAAATGAAATACACTTCACACCTCTGCAGTGTTTGTTCATTCCTGATTAAAGTCACACTGTTAAGTAGTGTCCCTAACATAACTTTCCAGTGCAGAAGAAAAGTAACAACCTCCACATTCCTTCTGAGCCTCTTTGCCGCTCTAAGTGGGCGCCAACACTCAAAAGCTGATGCTCATTATGTTTTGCTTCCCTTTTGGCTTGAATCTGAGAAATGTAACGTAGAGAAGAAACCGTTTCTCAGTTCAGTCATGGAGCTTCTAAACCCTTAAAGGTGACTCCAACCTGATGCTCCTGTTGTGGCTGTGTTGTCACAGTGGCCCACTTTCCCCATAGGCTGCTGCTACCTGACAGTGCTGACAAATAACAAAGATGGCACAGGCACCGTGCGAGGGAGGTGGAGTCATGTGACCAACAGGGAGCGAAAAGCAGTGATCATCTATCCAAACAGTCGGTTAACTGAGTTCACTATAAAGTCCACTATATAGTCCCCGCTCTATATAGTAGTTGAGGGATATAGGGGTTATGGCGGACGTTCAGACAGTCTATCTATGCATCTCATTCAGCTGATTGCCCTGAACTAGGCCAAGGCGTTACCATGGCAATCAGCCTCTGTGAGTTCCAGAGGACACGCCTCCTGTGTTTCATTGCAGAGAAATCTGGTGTTTTTTCATTACTTTTGAGGCCCTATATTTACATTCTTAGCAGTTTGTCAATCAGTCAAAATAGTTTGAGCGGTTCATGGGATATATTTCTATATTTGGAGAAACCCAGAACCCCTCTTTATATGGACTTAAAAGAGTTTGTTACAAGCTAAAGAAGATCTATTGAAAGTTGGCTTTTATTTTAATGAATGAAAAGCAACTGTAGACTTTTCTGAAGCCTAATATTTTTCTTACTTTTTGTTCCTAATTTCACACAAAAAGTTACCCAATAATTAAACCTTGGTTCACTTCTCATTAGAAAAAGGAGTTTAATTACTAATCCTCAGATTTTCAGTGATTCTGGTCTAAATCATCCATGTAACCCTGGCAGAAATGTCTTTGACATCAAATCAGACTGTTGATTCAGAATTATTTTACTGTCTACTAAATAACAAGGCTTTCCGTCCGTTATTTTGCTTTATAGGCATGAACACTTTAATCGGATATGACCTGGTCCCAGAACCCAAGATCCTGGATTCAGCGCTAAGAGCCTGTCGAAGGCTGAACGATCTCGCCAGTGCCATTCGCATTCTTGAAGCTGTCAAGGTGAGTCCAACCCCCCTGCCTCCGTCAGGAACTGTTCTTTCAGCACTACCAAACTCAAATAAAAGGTAACGTTTTAAAAGGGAAATAAACAATTGTTTTCCTCTATTTGAAGGATAAAGCAGGTCCCCACAAAGACATCTACCCCTACGTTATCCAAGAGCTGAAGCCCACCCTCACAGAACTTGGCATTTCAACACCAGAGGAGCTTGGAATTGACAAGTTATAGACAAGAAGGGTGAGAAGAGGCAGTATTGACTCGCAGCCATGTTTCTTTTTTGACTGAAAAACTGTAAAACGTCTTTCTTTTCTTCTCAGGCCATTTTTCACATCGAGACGATTCTCCTGATTACCTCCCATTGGAAATGTCTATATTATTGATCCAATACATGCTGTCCTGTTGTGTACAAAATAATGGAAATAATAAAGAACCTAATTAGCAAAACCTGTTCTTAATTCATCATTATCACACTTCACAGGACGGTGACAAGCCACAAACAATTTCTGCTGAAAGGGGTTTATGTTTAGAGTTCTGCATCAGAATGTTAAAGAAAAGTGGAGTGGAAGGAAAAAGTATTAGATAAAGGTGCAAAAATGATAGTGAATATTTAGGGAAAGGATGAGGGAAGAATCACAGAACGTCCACAGCGGTTAACCCCAACTCTCACCAGCTATGACATGGGATCCGATCTAATGAAATAATTGGATCGTATGACGCAGCAATTACATCTGGTTAAAGCAAATGGACTGCATAGTTCCAACCAAAGTAGAACCCGGGTTTATCTTTGTCAGACGGGAAGAGGGACACGTTGGCAAACTAAAACTTGTACAGTTTAAAGAGAACCTGAATTAAATAATCAGAATCTTAAACTTTGCAGCTTCTGGATGCGTTTATTTCTACAAATATTTTTTTTTTCTTAATCGCATTTAACCTAGACAACGGATCAAGTTATACGGCGAATGTGGCTTTTGTTCCAGCAGCGACCACAGCTTCAGGTTCCCCAGAAAAAAGACGGATCAGACACAAGTTCAAGTTTGGCTTCATGTAGCTTATTCCTTATGTTTGAGCCACTACTAGGAAAGTAAATGCAGGGAGTGTTTTGTGTGTGCTAAAGGGGGAAAGAGTTGACTGTTGTTGTCTTTTCCTTTATAATGATGAAAATAAATGTACTTGGGGAAAAAAGCTCAGAAAGTGGAAAGGCACAGAATCCAAGTTACATTATGTTGAGCTGGATGTCTGAAGTCTTCAGGTTACAGCAATTTCTAGAGCACATGATGCACCCATCTGCTGACTAGCTTTGTGGATATTTTTAGTGACTATTTGTACAAAAGTAAAATAAAAAAAACTTAATATCAAAGCAAAAAGGTGATTTCAACTCGAATAGCCACCTGATGCACCATGGATTTTTGCTTACGCAGTACAAAAAAGGTCAAAATCCACTTCTTTGCTTGCTTTATTCTACGTAGACAAACAGGTTAAACCTAGCGTACACAGTTTCCTCACTCTGTTTCATACACCTGTTCTTTGATTGACTGACTGATTGAATGAGACTGACTGAAAACTGGTAAAAGAAAAAAAAAAATATGACCACCCACGTCAAAAATAATTAATGTAATTAATAGCGTAACTTTTTTTTTTCTTAAGACCTACCTATTTATTCTGTGAAACACCCACATCCCAAGTTAAAATTAATTAAGTGAATCACTAAACAAGTCCTACTATAAATAACAAATCAAACAAAATAATCAAGATTTAAATAAAAATGGAGCAAAATCTCCTACAATATTATTGGTCTGGATTGATCAACTTTCCTACAGTCTTATGTCTGTTAGGTACTGTCAATAAAATATCCACATACTTGGTGAAAACCTGAGAACCTGGATTTTCTTTATCTTAATCAGAATCTAAGGCTTAGAGATTTAGGCTGGTTGCCTCCATTCTATGACAAAATTAAATCCTTTAAATATCTTTGCAAATTGAATTAATTTGCATTACTTTAAAGACACAATATACCTTTACAATAATAAACACCTTAAATATATTAAACTATGTTAAATTATTAAATAATCTGCCTACATTCTTCATAGTCTTGTATTTACAGAAGAGGATTAGGACCACTGAAAAAATAAAAAGTTAACTGATTTTAAAATATAATTTCAGTTTATTATGGGAAAAAGTCGGAATTCCGACTTTAATCTTAGAATTCTGACTCTTTTCTCAGAATTCTGACTTTAATCTCAGAAATTTGGATGTTAATGTAGATGGGAATCATGAAGGAAGAGATGTGGGAGCACTCAGCTTCACTGACAAAGATCTGAGTTATTTTGGGGGGGGGGGCAGTGACAAATTGGTGTAATATTATGGACTTAGGAGACTTTTTACGTATCAGAGGGGTCCCCAGTGATGCTATTTCATTAATGAAGGAGCAGAAGGTGATTAAAACAAGAGAGATTGTTTAGTCTCTAAAAGAGACATGGCTGCGGTTTCAGATTTCTGAGGTTAAAGTCAGAAATCTGATTTTTTTCCCCTCATATTATCCTAAAATTAAATTTCAAAATCAGTTAACTCTTTTAATTTTTTCAGTGGTCCTAATCCTCTTCCGTACTTATTTATGGGCACAAATGTTATTTTATTTTTAGCCACTAGGGGGCGACATACTGCTTCACATCAGGGTAGAGAGACCACAATAAACAGGAGAATCAGTCTAGCGTAATCCAATAGTTCTGGTAATAAAAGACAGCACCTTTGGTTACAGTTGGGTTACAAATAGGTGTTAGCTATTTTGTTGAGTTTTTTTTTACGCTTCCCCCCCTGTATCTGCTTCACTTGTAATGAATCACAACCCCCGGAAGTAGAGACCCCCTGCTAACCAGCCCTAACTAACCATGTTAGCCTAGCAGGCTAACAGGAGTGTGATTAGCAGGTTCCTCTGCTCTGGGACTACTATCATGGCTGTGCTGTGGGAGAAGTTGTGACAACAATCAAAGCGAAGATGATGAACGACATAATAGAAGAACCCGAAAAGGACGCGCTCCTGGAGGCGCAGCAGGAACAGCTAGTTTTGTCGGTAATGTCAGCTAAAGCTAGTCTGACGATAAGAAAAGAGAAACTGGGAGGCTCGCTAGCTAGGCTAGCATTGACATATTTTGACAGTTGTTTACGTGAGACGTATTTTAAAGAAAGCCTTCTGACTTATGTATATGAACGTAACGTCAGGCTGGTTAGTAACATATAAAAAAACGTGTTTTGAAGCACTTATTTCGCTTTAACGATTATTATTGGAGCCTCAGCGAAAAAAAAAAAAAAAAACAGTAACCATAAAAATAGACATGATGATGTTTATAAGTAAACCCCGAAAGTACCAGCTTGGCTGCTCATTAAATATAACTTAAGAAATACGTTGATTTGCTCTATGTTTTTGGAAAGCCTCTTTGGAAAGTTTGAACTTCTCCATTTCCTTTTTGGCTACAAACCATTAAGTATTTAAACAGAATGACTAATAAAAAAGCCCAAAAACAAGATGAATGTCATGGAGTTTAAATAGAAGCCTTACAGTAGGGTGTGTATTTGTATTTATTCCTCCTAAATGTCTTCTTTTCTGACACTTTAGGGAATGTCTTTCAGCTTTGTGTGGAAAAGTGTGTCCATTCTGTCCTGCAAAATTGTATATTTACTCAAGCTTATTTAGATTCACTGGAAAGTTTGAAAATCAATTTTTAAGTCTAGCCACCATCTCAGTAGGATTCAGATGTGGACCATGATTCTGACACATGGACATACTTTGATCCATCTGCTGTACGCTCAGGGATGTTGTTTTGTTGGAAGTTTAACCTCTACCTCAGCCTCAAGACCTCTGCAGCATCAAATTCTTTCTTCTTGGATTTTCTGCATATTGGGATCATTTAAATTATGACTTTCTTCCATGTCTCTGCTGAATGAAAGCATGATGCTGCCAACACCCCCCCCCCAGTTTGGATTGCATGTTTTTAGTGGTACTTTTTTGCTCCACACATAGATTTTTTTTTGGTTTAAACCATAGAAAACAACATTGGTCTCATGTAACCAGAGAAAATTCTTCCATATTCCATAAAGGCCATATTTTTAGATCTCTGCAGCTGCTTGAGAAATTCTGAGTTTAGATGATCTTTCATGTCTTGATGGGGTTTTAGTGATGTGGTGACGTCCAAAGGCTGTTGGTAACAGAGGAATTGACCTTAATAAAAGGGGCTTACATAAAATGTAAACATATATTGTTTATAAGATTTAAAAAAAAAAAGTAAATACATTTGAGTTTTTTGGTTATGTAGCAAAAAATAATCATCATAATAATAATTTGTGAAATTTCAGGGACCCAGTAACGGCACAAGACCTAAGATTCCAGATGGAGGCATTCGGCCGGTGGAGAAGAGAGGACCTTACATCATGTCCAGAGCGCCGGCCATCCACCTCAAACTACGTGAGCATTTCTACTAATGAAGGGAGAGGAAATGTAAAAGTTGCATCTATAAACCGTCAGTCTGTTCTTATGAATATTAATGTTGGCTGAATGGTTGTTAGATAAGTAACTAGCTTTTTATGAAGTTAGGTGTTTAATTTATCCAATGATTTAGAGTGCTTTAATAGTAGCTTTGAAGAGTCAGTGAGGTTAAAGAGTTCAAAAAGTTCAAAACATTGCATAGATTGAGAGGTTTACATCCACAAATATGGAGTGAACTTTGTTCCGTTATTGTTTCAAGCAAAGAGCACGTTTTGTATATTGAAATTTTTAAGAAAAGAAAATTGCTATCCAGGAATAAGACTTTTTAAAAACATTTCCAGAAAAGGTTTTGAGAGTGAACTTGCTGTTTTCTTAGATTTTGTTTTTTTTTGTTTTCTGTAATTATTTTTTATTTGGTTTTTGTTGTGTAAAATAAAGTATTTGACCAGGTTTTTTATTTCTATTTTCATTTTAATTTTGTTTTTCAGCCTGAGTTTTATGAATTGCATTTGTATTGGTTAAGAGGGAGCATTTTTATTGGGCTTAAAGGGGAAAGATTTGATCTGTGAAAGAAAATATGAAACAAAAAATGCAATTGGTAAAAACTAAATCTGAAAGATTAATAAAAAAAGATAACAAGAATAAAATTAAAAAATTATAAAATCTTTAAAAACACAACAAAAAAAAATTTCATTTTACAATACAAAAAAAAACAACAAACAAACAAAAAAAAAACACAAACCCCCAACATTTAAGTACAATTTTGACATTTCCTTCTGATTAAAACTTCTCCAAGTTTCATTTCAGGATTATTTTTTTTATACTTTTCTTGGAACAATAATGTAACAAATTTCTCTCCATAAAGAAAAGTCTTTGTAGTCACATGAGTTTGACCAAACAATGTGATTTTCCACCCATTTAGACCAGGAGCATGTGCTTTCCTCTATTTAATCACAAAATGTCCATGAAAGCAGTAAAAAGGATCACAAATACACAAACCTATCCACATGAAACAATTAATGGAGGATCTATTGTTCATTTGTGCTTTGCATTCAGAGGAAATAGCTAGAAAAACAGCAATGGTCTAGTGTTTTCCATCTCTCTCTCAGCCTGATGTTTTCTGTATGTAGTCTCAGAAAAAAATAAGTAAATAGATATTTAGTTTGAGTCCTACCACATGTGAATGAATTTACTCCCTTTGATAATCCAAAGAGAAACATAGAGAGATGGTGAGGAAGGCGCTGAAGAGGAAAGCCCTCTCTGCAGGCCCAGCAGTGACCAATCAGCCGAGGCAGGGAGGCAAGAGGTGAGGAAAGAGAAAAAGGATTTTTCTTTTCTTTATTTCCAGTAATGTTGACATGAAGCAGGAAATGTTAAAGCAATGCTCCTCTGTCCGTTCTGCTTTAGGACGGTGAAGTTCAACAAGGGCTACGCTGCTCTGAGCCAGAATGCTGAGGAGATGTTGGTAGCTCTGGACTCAGACAGGTGGGTAATAGAACCAACAGATGATGCTGCTGCAGACAGAATAAGATGCTTTATTTAAATATGTCTTCCCTTTGTAAAGTTTTATGGTTTCTCATGTTCTTCTTCAATCTCCACACTTAGCCGACCCAGAATCTCTCGGCAGCCTTTAAAGTTGGCTGCCTTGACGTCTTGTTAGACAGCTTAGACTAATGAGCCTCTCTTGATCTTCACAGCGATGAAGAGATCGACTTTGAGCACTATTCCTCAGGATACTCCTCCGCTGAGGTGAGGTTGCCTCACAGGACATTTTTCAGATTTCTCTGATGCTTCTTTTGCATATTTGCAAACTGCCTGTTTGACTGTTGACCAGTGGGTGTGGTGAGATAATTCACTGTTCTTCTATTAACCCATACCGTACACATTTATCCTCCGTGCACCTTTCTATACTGCTATCACTGAAAGCCTTGCCTTCAGGGTAAACACTGAATACCAGGTGTCTGTTTTTTCTCTGAGCACTAACTGAAAACTACTTTATTAATTTGATTTATCACTGCTGCCAAATCAGTTTTGTTCTTGAGTTGATAGAAAAAAAGCCCAGATGGTTGCTCTGTACAGGGTCCCCGCAGGTCCTTAAAAAGTCTTAAAAGGCATTGAATTCTTCAAAATAAAATTAAGGCCTTAATTGGTATTAAAATGTCTTAAATCAGTCTTTCGTAGGCCTTAGTTTTTAAAACATCATAAATAGGATCATTTTTATTAGGATTTATTTTTGTAATCTAAATAAAACATTAAAATTGACAATTTTTTTTTTATTTATTTAAAACAAATAATGGCTCTCCATTATTGGTTCCGTCCCGATAGCGGAACCAATAAAGCGTTGTTGCGGCCGGGACATTTGGGAGATGCACCATTAACTTTTTGTCTGGAAAATCTGAGCAAGTGTAAATGTAACCAAAATTGTCTCCAGCCAAGAGTTTCCTCCATGGCTAAAACCAGGGAACATACATGAGGCTCAGTGGATTTATGCAAGAAGTCATTCAAGCTCAGAACGATGGGAATTAAGGCAGTGGAGTCGCACATGCGAAGCACGAAACACAAAGCGTCAAAATGGAGTTAGAGAGAAACAGCCGGTATTTCTCAGTTTAGTTCCACCCTTGTCTCTGCAACGCCTCCACTTATCACCAAATCAAACAGACTAAGAAAACCATACAAAGAAAAATAGCTGCTAAAAAGACTTAGCACTGGTTATGTTGGGGCTTTCAAACTGATTTGTTTTGTTCCCTGCTAAAACAAAGTTTGTGAATTCAGTTAAATAATTGTTCAAATATATCTGTCATTTGTGTGTTTTTAGCTTTCTTCCTGTATGGGAAGCTTTTCAAAATGTGAAACATTAGTGCAGTGGTTTATGCTAAAATAAACCTTTGGGTTAAGTTGTCACAAGCAGGTTTTCTTGTGTTTCTTGTGAATTTGGTCTTAAATTTTTATTTCAAGTGGCATTAAAAAGTCATAAAAAGTCTTGAATTGAACTCGCCTTATGCTGTAGGAACCCTGTTTGTAGAGAAAAAGCTTCACTGGATTTCTGATTAAAGATATATTTAGACCTATCCGCTTGGGGCTAATCCTCCTAGACATTGTTGTTTTGTTCAGATTCAGGTTTTCTTTCTTTTTATTAGCTCTTATGAAACAAACTTTTAGGACATCTTGTCTTGGAACTCCAATAAAACAAGCTGAACTTGTTTATAACTGCAGTCTGTATGTAGCCCGTTGGGTCTCAGATGAGCTCCTGGTATTATTTTGAGCATTGAACAATCTCCCCCTCAGGGTAAATACACTGGAACACACCCATGTAGTTTGGATGCATGGTATGCTCATAAGAAATATACATTTAAAGGATTTGAAATCTTAACTGAAAATGTTTCTATTTTTGTAGAGTTTTATCTGAATCCCTGCTGTTAGTTGTTTATTGTTTCAGAAAATTGGATCTTTAACAGTCTGTGTCATTACTCTAGGTGACAAATAACAAATTAGTCAATAATCGGTTCATCTCATCAAACCTCTCAGCCCTAATTTCTTGATTTGCATTTGATTTAAAACTCTGTCACATGAGGGTTCTTAGTTTAAGATCTTTTTGTAATGTTTGTTTTTCTTCTAGATGTTAAAGTCATGACAACAAAAGGTTATTAACCATTAAAAAAATTTAATGTTTTAAAAAAAATCAGTAACTGCTTTAGTCGAGGAAAGGTATGGAAGATGATTAGGACCATTGGGAAAATAAAAATGAATCAAACATGAAGCTGCCTATTTCTGACTTTAATCTCTGGAATCTGACTTTAATTTCAGTTTATTATCAAAGTAAAAATCCTGGACTTTGGCTTTACAATCCTAAACTCTGGAAGGACTTGGAGTTTGAATATTGTAGCAGAATGTGAAGAAATGTGTGGAAGAAGTTTGAATTTCTAGACTGAATCATATTCCTTCTAGTTTCTCCATCAAACTCCAGTTAGTTTTTAGTTTTTTACTTGTTTCAGGTAGATTTCTGTCCCATTCAATGAATCAAAAACTGCTCCTTTTGTCTCAAAATCACAGTATTTCTAACCAGAAACTGGGAATTAATGGATCCTTATTTTAGCAGTTTTAGGGTAATCTAACTTTGTCCTGATGCCAAATAGAAAAATTCCAATGTGACGCAGCGGAATTGAAAGCCAGTTTCCTGTTATTTTAGGAAAATAGGCAGATAATGGGCTTTATGCACAACTCCACTACTTCCTGAACTTAAGGAAGCTCTTTTTTTTCTGTCTTTGGCTGAATCCCAAACTTTCCCTCCAACGGAAAAGGAAAGCAGTCGTTGCTATGGTAACACAGTGATGTGCCATGTGGGGGGCTGTAGCACTGGGTGACATTAAAATATAACTTTTGCCCCTTTCTTAAAAAAATGTTTACGGTCAGATAAAGCTATTTCAAAATGGACCTTCCCTTTTGGAATGATTTATATTTTTTCGTATCTTTTTTGTCAGTGTGATGAAGATGCTGCAAACAATTTTAACCGAGATCCAACTTTACCCACTGATCCAAATATTTTGTTTGCTTGTTGCTGTTTTTTTCTCTGCTCTCCAGGTCCATCCTGATCTGAGCAAGCAGCTGCTGCAGGATGGCTACCATCTGGATGAGATTCCTGACGATGAAGACCTGGACCTGATTCCTCCCAAAGCCATGGGCTCCTCTGTGTGCTGCTGCTTCCAGGGTCCATCCTGCCCCATGCAGTGACTCTATGTGCAGCTCTGCAGGGACAACGCTCTTCTTTTCACTGCAGCAGAGCTGCTGCACGGCGCCTGAGGAGATCCAGCTCTGATGAGGAACTGCAAACACTGAGCGCTGACATCGTTTAGCCTCACCGAGAAGGCAGAAGGACACAAGAGCAAGCCTTATCCACTGTGACTCCAAAGCCTAACTAATTGTATTTATTCATCCTGTTTCTGCAGCTTTACACAAAAGCGTAACCACGACCCTCCTCTGGTTGAGTGATGGAGTGTTTCAGCATTAGTGATAAGACCGTGTTGACTCAAGGAGGTGCTGGCGAGCTCATTTCCTGCAGCCCTATGAGCATCTCAGACAGCCCAGACCGCTGCTGTCTGAGATGTTTTAGCTCTTTGACGAGTCGCCACTGTCTGTTACCGTTGAATGACGCAATGGCAACTAACTGGAACACGTTATTATTGTTCATTTTTATTTTTTAGCGCTATTGGATTTTCTATCTGGGGAAACAGAAACACTAACCAACAAAACGAGCCTCCTAGAAGAGAAGTGGAGCATCCTAAGAGGTGCTCTCTCTCTGTTTGCCTGCTGTCGAAGGCTCAGAATATATCTGCATCTTTTCATAGACTTCCACACCAGTTTAAAATACATTTAAGAGACGATAAAAACAACAATTTAAATCTGTCTGGATTCGCTTTGAGCATTTGATAAAACTACATTAACATGCCTCCACATCAGATTTAATTTGCATTATTTATTTATCATTATATTTAATGTTTATACTAAAATCAGAGTTATTTAGAGTTCATTTATAATTTACATTTTTCATTTATATTCTTTTTGTGTTTTCTTTGGACAAAAGTTGAGACTTCTAACACTTTAGAATGTATCTGTTCATTTTCATTTTTAAACTTTAACAGTTTTTATCAGAGATGCACAGATATCAGCTGCATCTGTTTGAAAAGTGCACGGCTGCTTCAAAGTCAGGATAAAAATCTTCCTGTTTACTGTTAAAGAAATGCGCCCCCCCCCCATACACTGTATGGGTTTAATGCTAGTCACCGAATACTTTATATGGACCTACTGGGTTTTTATCGGTTTAACCCCACGTCTTGCTCTGCAGCGTGTTTTGACATTTATTCAATTTTGCACTTAACACCAATTGCCAGTAGCAAGTACACCTGACTCACCTGTACTATGCAACTATGGGACAATCTGCTCGTCGTACAAGGTTGTGTTATTGAGTGCTGATGCAATAAATAAATGTCTTGTTTGTTTAACATCTGTTAATACTCTATTCCCCTGTTGTACTTTATGGGTTTACATTCTTAGCAACAAAAAAAGGAAAATTCAATTAAAAATGTTTTGTATTTGTGTTCGTTTACAATACCTGAATTGTGTACACCACAGCGTCTTTCAACTTTTTTTCCACACATTTTTTGCATCTCTGTTGTCTCTCTCTGCTATTCCAGATATCAGGAATCCTTTAAAGATGACTATAGCTTCTAATTTTTAGAACGTTTGAGGCTGTTTAGGATGATTCCTTTTCAGAAACGAGTAGAGCGAGCTTTTAAATCATTTAAACAACGCTTTGTTTTCTTTGATGGCAAAATACTCTCCCCCCTCCTTTAATTAGAAATACCATTCAGACGTTAAACAGATCACAAACATTGGGTTATTACCAAGTGCTTCAGCTTTTAAGACTCTTTGTTTTTATAACATTCCAGTTTATTCTGAAAGCTTTTGAAATACCACCTCTGAGCTGCAGCCAATGACGTTAACGCCTGCTGTTTGATTGAGCTCCAACTTGCCGCTTTTCAAAAAGGTTTTGTCTGCTATTGCATCATTAGGAAAAGCACCAAATTACATGTAGAAGAAAGGACATTTAAATTCCTCAAAGTCAAGCAACAAAAAATGTCTCCAGTAAACATAAACTTCCTGTTAAATCAAGTTTGCAAAGATTTCAAAACGCAAAATAAATAGCTGGACTCTCCTGCATCAAGTGTATTTTATGTAAATGAGTTCATGTTCAAAGGAGGTATGGGTATGCATTGTTCCCTCACCTTAAAGCCAGAATTTATTGGATATTTCAAGAGAAGGAAGAGATTGGTACCAATATTTCAAAATGGAGCTGCATATGAATATTCCGTAAAAATTCCAAAAATATCCACTGGACTTGGTTTCCAAGGTTTGAAGACGTTTCTCCACCGCTCCAGGAAGCTTTTTTTACGGAATGACTATGACCTGGATGACTGAGAACCTTCATCAGCATATTGCATATAAATACTAATGCAAATACTATTCTGCTTCTGCTGGAGGTTTCTTCTTGTTAAAAGTGAGTTTTTCCTCTCCACTGTTACTAAAAGCATGCTTAGTTTGAGGGATTGCATCCCGATGCAATCAACTGGTTTTGCTTAGATAGAAAACTTTAAATCAATCTGAATGTATGATCTGGTTGAACTGTAAAGTGCCTTGAGATGACGTGTTGTGAATTGGCGCTATAGAAATAAACTAAATATAATTGATTCAATACATTAGATGCAGGCATATTTTTCAAAACGTGGTAAATTCTGTGTTTAAATCAGTTTTTAATACTTTTGTGTTATAAAATTATGCACGGATTTTTTTTTTTTTTTGACATTCAGCCATAATCATCTGAATTGTATGAAATAAACGAAAATGTTTTTGCATTACCGCAATATAAATCCGCTAGGGGGCAGCATAGAGCTTTGCTGCTTTCCTGAATTGCCTGTTGCAGCATAAGAACACTTTACTTTCCACCAAGTTTTTCCTCAGTGAAGTTGGAAAGTTTTTCATATAATATATAAAAAAAACATTTATCTACAACAAAAAATCTGCAACGTTTAACTGTAAAAGTAAACACCCCACTGCATCAATACAAGTGGCAAAATACTATTTTTATTTAGATCCAAATAAACTTAGATTAAAATCAGGAAGCAGAAATCTCTGCAATGATGAAGTTCTAATAACCCACAGATATTTTCTTTCTTGCCACATAAGGGTTAAGGAATAATGAAATTACTGTCATTTAATAATTAAATTAAGTGGAAATGGTAGATACTTGTTGCTATCGCTGGGCGGGCCTAATGCGCCATGGGGGGGTGGGGGGGAGATCAACTCAACTGGGAAAAAAAAAAAAAAAAAACCGACAGGGAGTTACCTCAGCGCTTTCCGAGACATGAGATCGGCTCATTTAGCAGCCTGTTTCCTTACCTGTTAAAGAAGGAAATCACGAATTTCAGCAAAGCGAAGGGAAACAGGCAGAAAGGCGGATAAAGCTGGAGAACTGCTCCAGGAAAAAACAAACAAAACTCAACTAAACGCGGCGGATCGCTCCTTTTTCTCCTTCTACCGGCGGAGCAGTGGGAACCTGAGGGGCGTGCAGGCGTGTTTACAAGTGTTTGAACGAGTGCCAGAGACCAGGAGAAGGAGGATAAAAGCCCAAAGGAAGGAGGGATGGTGGACAACTCCAGCAGCGGCAGCAAGGCGCAAATGGTGAGTCCTGGCTGCGCTCTCAGGCTGTGCGCCTCTCTGCGCCTTTAACGCGTCATTCAGCCACAAGGAGCTGAATGCTGAGCGCTTAGTTTACCAGACAAGCAGGACAGCAAAGTTTAAAGAGGTAACCTGATCTTATACTCAGTTTATTCTGTTTTATTTTATATATAAACTATTTTGATTAATGCAATCCTTTTTTTTTCTTTTTGAAAAGGATAAGTTGGGGACTTGGCACGTTTGCATGTTATCTGGTCCTTATCTGGCATTTTGAGGATGTGGCAGCCAGCTCCATTTAATACGCAGGAGGGGCTTTAATTAGGTCTTATGTTGTTTGCTTTTTATGATAGCAGTGATGCTGCACGCATGTTTAATTCCAGGGGGGATATTTCCACCTTTACTTTTAAGTAAAATTTTTTAAAGGGTCGAACTGACCTTCTTTCCGTTTGGTACTTTTCAAAAATTGATTCACTTTCTCAGGATGAGAAGGTGAACCTCCTGGTAATCCCCCCCATGTTTTTTCACTTCTTACATCTGTTTTTTATCTGCTAACTTTCAGTTAAACCAGGTATGTCCGTTTATTTTTCATTGTAATTGAATATTTACGTTATTTATACAGATTAATGGTCAGAAAGATATTAATTTTAATTACCAGTTTTTCATACTACTAACTCTAATCTACCCCCTAAATTGCCAAAAATGTTATTTATTAGATAGCAGACTTTCTAAGCAGTAGACATTGTCCAAACAGGAAGAAACTATCACCTCTAGTAGGTAGCTATTCTACCTATTGTAGTGAGGTTGGTACCTGACATCCAGCAGGAGAACTCACACATTTGAGTGTAAAAAAACAAAACAAATCTACAACACGGTAAAAAAACAAAACAACAACCAGCAGCTTCCTTGTCAAGTGTTCATCCTTGATATAAAAACTATTTCCCCACCATTGCAGCGCTGATTGGTCTTGGTCATTTTTTAGAAAACTTTTTGGACACAAGAAAGAACCTGATGCCACCAAACCAAAGCTTCATTGATTGTTGGTTAAGTCCAGATATACCAATAAACCTACTATCAATAAAAAGTTATTTTCTATAGAATATTCTGTTAGAATATGTGGTTATGGATCCTGTAAATTATATTGTTAACAGGCGGCCGATTGGAGTTAGACTTAGACAGATTTAATCTGTCATTTTGTTTACAGAAGTTTAAAACAAAAAGAAAATTCATTTAGAAACAGCTCTCTGCACAATTTAATCTTTTTAAAACTGCAGCCTTGAAAAATTGTAAAAAAAAAATATATATATATATATATATATTTATATATATATATATATATATATATATA